TATAAATTTTATCAAGATAACAATTTGCTTTTTAATAATTATAGCTTAATTATAGTAGCTATTACTAATTCTATAATATTAAATAATAGCTCTTTATCTATATTATTTCTTAGTAACTCTATAGCGCTTTAAGCGTATTATAAGACATATTAATAATGGTTTTATTAATATAAAAATAATAATAGCAAAAATAATTCTTTGTATGCTTCTTAATACTATAAAGCTATATAGCAAAATAAAAGAAGCCCTTATACTAATTAGTAAACTACCTTGCAAGCTCTTTATTTAATCTTATTTATACTTTTAACAAAGAAAATAAGAGTTTATTAAAATTAAAATTAAGAGAGTAAAGAGATAGATATATTAATTAAACACTTATCTTTTAGCATATATCTCTTAGCTCTTATATATAAATATTAGTATTAATAGTAAATATAGCGTTAAAAGCTTACTTAACTATAATAAGCGCTATAGTTATTTATAATTAGTACTAACTATGGCCTAAGATATAGATTTATCTTTATTAGTAATCTTTAAATAAATATATTAAATCTCTTGCGGTTAAAGCTACTATAGTATATTTTATAATTGAGATAATTATTAATTCTTATAGCTAGTAAGATGCTCTATCTCCTTAAGCGCTTATTTAGTACTATTACTCTGCAAGGTACACTGCATAAAGACTAATCTCTTTTACAGTCTTTTGTATGCTTGTGCGTAGCTGATTCGTTGACAAATATAGCTTCTTTAGTACGAATTTCGCATATCTGAGCTCTGTAGTAATCTCGCAACTCTTTATCTTGCTCACCAGCTCTACGCTCAACCTACAAAGTAAGTCTGAATTCAAGCAAATAAAAATGATACTAATAGCTTTGTGCGTAATCTTCTCCTTTACTAGAGTTTGACAAACAGTTAATTTCGATACTCCTATATCATACTCCTTATCTAGAAACGCTACCATTTCGTCGAGATAAGAGAGCTTCTTCTCCGAGCTATTATCCAGAAGCCAATCAAGAAGGCCCTCAAGCGCCTCTGGGGTGATTTTTTGCGGCCTACCCATCTTCGCTTGAGGCGCTGGCCGTGGCTCTCCGAACGTATTAATATTCTGCCGGATTCGGCCAACAGTTGAAGCATGGCATCGAAATCTATAAGCTATTTCTCGTGGTTCTACGCCTGTAGCAAGCAAAAGGGCCATTTCGTCGACGGTCGACTTCGAAAAGCGCAGTTTGCTCATCGCGAACTCAACACCAAGGGCCAGCAGTTGAGATAGGGCAAGAGAAGGGCGTCAGCGAGGTCTATGAGCAATTTCAAGCAATTTCTACGCGTTCTACGGCCCTAGGGAGCTATTCCTACATCTCACCGCAATTCTGCCCCGCGGCGCCAGCAATTCGAGGGTAGCGCCAAGGAATTGCAACACTTTCGCAATGCACAGTACCAATATTGTAAAGCTGGTGGTAGTAGGTGATTAATCGAGTGGCAAGTCTTCAGTCTTAGAAGGTCTCACCGGCCGCGGGGCAGAATTGCAGTGAGGGCAGAGGATGGCCATTTACCACCTAATTATCGTAGTAGAATGCCTAAAATCGCCCGGATAGTAAAATAGACTCTCTTGTGACCTTACTGCCAAAATTTTGAGATAGAAAATTATGGTGTTGAATTGTGAGAAGCGTTCAAACGTAGGGAGAACTTTATAGCGCTTTTATAACGCAAATAGAAAGGAGGATATAAAGAGGATAGTAGGGAGTAGGATAGTAGAAAGGAGGATATAAGGAGGATAGTAAGGAGGAGGATCTCAAGGAGGAGGAGGATCTCAAGGAGGAGGAGGATCTCAAGGAGGAGGAGGATCTCAAGGAGGAGGAGGATCTCAAGGAGGAGGAGGATCTCAAGGAGGAGGAGGATCTCAAGGAGGAGGAGGATCTCAAGGAGGAGGAGGATAGCAGGGAGCAGGATCTTAAGGAGGAGGATCTTAAGGAGGAGGATCTTAAGGAGGAGGATCTTAAGGAGGAGGATCTTAAGGAGGAGGATCTTAAGGAGGAGGATCTTAAGGAGGAGGATCTTAAGGAGGAGGATCTTAAGGAGGAGGATCTTAAGGAGGAGGATCTTAAGGAGGAGGATCTTAAGGAGGAGGATCTTAAGGAGGAGGATCTTAAGGAGGAGGATCTTAAGGAGGAGGATCTTAAGGAGGAGGATCTTAAGGAGGAGGATCTTAAGGAGGAGGATCTTAAGGAGGAGGATCTTAAGGAGGAGGATCTTAAGGAGGAGGATCTTAAGGAGGAGGATCTTAAGGAGGAGGATCTTAAGGAGGAGGATCTTAAGGAGGAGGATCTTAAGGAGGAGGATCTTAAGGAGGGGGAGAATATTAAGAAGGAGAAGGATATTAAGAAGAAGGATATCAAGGAGAGTAGTATTATTGGTTCGTCTTATACATAGAGTTAGATGCTATATTGAACAAGAGAGGGATATCCTCCTTGAGATCCTCCTTGAGATCCTCCTTAATATTCTCCTTAATATCCTCTTTAATATCCTCTTACTTAAAGTCCGCAGAATTCTATTTAGTTCACTGCTGGCTTTGATAAACGTAATCCACTCATTAAAAACTCAACACTAAAGGCCAGCAGTTGAGATAAGGCAAGATATAAGCGCCAGCAAGGTCTATGAGTAATTTCAAGCAATTTCTACGCGTTTTTCGTACGTGGGGAGCTATTCCTATATCTCACCACAATTCTGCCCCGCGGCGCCAGCAATTCGAGAGTAGCGCCAAGGAATTGCAACACTTTCGCAATGCACAGTACTCGGCTGTAGAAGTCTTGTTCATTCGTTAGTATGTTGTACTCTGGATGAGAGTGAAAAGGATAAGCCGTCTCCACCTTTGAATCCCTGTCCCATATACCGAGTCGTGCATCAAAAGTCTTCAATATACGCTAATTAAGATGAAGTACAGCTAGCTGTTCCTCCATTAGTGTAATACTAATTCCTGGTGGCATCATCGAGACGGTCAACGGGCCCGAAGGCCTGATAGAAGTCACGTCGAACAGCCTGAATCAAGGGCCGGAGGCCTTAAAAGATGTTCAGAACAGGGGTCTGTTAGGAGGTGTTGGACCAAAAGGACCGTAAACTAGCTTTTGTCTGACAGGAGGCAGTCTAGGTGCGGCTCCCTGTACCGCATGAGTTAATGCATTACTAAAGCTCAGCTACAGAACGCTAGTAGCACTCTGATCTTAGTATACACTTATTGAAGACAGACTTTTGATGCACAAAAACTCCGTATATCGACTATTTATTAGGGGCTAGCCCCACATCCAAAATGTGGCCCCTGCAATGTTGGAATAGGGCAGTGGCAGAGCACAATGCCAAGGCCGCTGTTACGTGACTCCGCACGCCCTTCTATATTAGCCTGCTTCTCCTCCTTATATAGATTCTACACATAGAGAGTATAGATAATTCAGATCACCACCTCATCATGCACCTCTCGTTATCGACCGTTTTAACATTGTGTCCAAGAGCAAGCACAGCGATCAGCCATTGCTTTGGCCTCAGCGTGAATATGCAAATGGTCGCAGTCCACTGACACATTTCTGGTAAGGAATTCAATCTTACCCATGGGATGATCTTTCAGCAAGCCTGAGTAAGGGAGTACAATTATTTTGACCTCTTTGGACACTACTGCACATACGTTTACATGACTGATCAATGTTCATTTGATGTTGTTACTTTAAGCTGTGCAAAGGTATCAATTTGTGTTTCAATTCTACGTGCTGCAGAAGCGCACAATTTCTGTGTACATGTAAAGAGCACAAGCCCGTTCATGGTTGATCATGGATCAGAATTGTTGGAATTGTTTTGTATTTGATAGCTCCTTAGGACTCGGTGTAGGGCTGCACAGTCAATCCCTCAGCTATAGAGTCCATATCTTCTTCTGGTTGCTTTACTATCCATCCTTTCCCTTCTTTGTCCGCAGATCTCCACCAAAGACAACTCTTCAAAGACTGCTGTGCATACCATAACCGCTGGCACACATCAAAGAGAACACTGTGCCATAGCATATTGCAATCAGAAGCAATGCAGCCGCCAACCACATGGAATCATATATTCTGCTCATCTGGGCAGAATGAAGATGTACTTTCTGTTGCCTCTACAGACTACTCACAGCCATCAACGGAGCCTGAAGAGCACATCCCAGCAACTGATCCGTTGGAGATTGCTCATTTGTGGTCATCAGTATTGGAAGCGGTAGGCGCTTCTGAAGAAAAAATCTTCTCTACAGAGTCATCAGTTCCAGACGATCAAATTATCAGTGAGGCCTGTTTTATCTAAAAAGCAAAGACGATTCGCTGAACATGTATTAGATTATCCTCTTAACGAACCAGCTACTTTCGGGCAATATTCGAATCTGATGGGAAAGAATGCCCAGCAGTTTGGTCACTCACTGCCAACCATGAGTTCATCACAGAGAGCCGTCCACTGGGGCAAGCTCGATCAGACAGAAACCAAGCCAGAACCAAATGCAAGAGCACCCTCTAGGGTCCGTGGCCGAGCGCCAAATGCAGTAACTACTCCGGCCAGTGACGCACAGGAAGACATGCCTTGTAACATTGGAAAGGACGAACTAGCCACCACGTCTGCACAAGATCACTTTCACTCTATGCTCGGGCACGGATCAGCAGCGGGGACAAACAACCCAAAGAGCTCAACCCAGCATGACAAAGATAGTGCATTTTATGAACGCGTCTCTCGTGATTACAATCTGTTAATGGCCTATCGGTATTCAAGTTATCCCCTCTCTTCCCTGATCCATGATCGGTTCTTCAGCCTAGATCCACCTTACGCTGCCCCGAACTATGGACCGCCAAGCGCTGTAAAAGTCCACAACTTTGGCATCAATGTCGAGCATATTCAGTGGAAGACGTCCCCTGACTCGCTGTCTGAGTGCACCACATCGCCGCAACCTTTCTCCTGTACCTTTTGGCTCGTCGTGGAGGCTCTTGAACAAGACGTTCGCGAGTATTTGACAAATTACACCTGCGTGATAGGCGACAACTTGGTTTTTCCTTATCTTACTATCGATTTTCGAAAAGACGACGAACGACTCCAAGGAGCGAGACGACGAGCAGCATGCAATGCCAAGCAAGCTCTCTACAACCGGTATTGCTTATACATGGAGACTTCAAAAGAGTGTCCCGAAGCTGCCGGAGCACTGAACAACGCCCTTCACTGTCATTTTACAATCATCTTTGATGATATGAACTGCGAATGCTGGCAGATCACTCCTGATCATGACAATGAATGGACTGGGAAGGGCTGTACGATGAAGCGAATCTTCTCTGCATCGTTGCTTGGACCAAGTGGTCTCAAAAGGCTGCACGAATGGATCAATGAAATCCACCATTGGGCTACAACAAAGTATGGTCCTGCATGTGCCAAGGAGATCCGAACCCGTTTACAAGCGAGGAACGCAAAGAAGACGGGTACAGTAGCTCAGTAGGGAGCTCTGAAGGAATGTGTCTGCTCTCGATCAAAGACTGTTGAATCAGCTGACGCTAGGGAAACGAGGGAGTTACCTAAAGACGATGGATGGACCGGCTCACAAAGTACGTGAGGAAACAGATGGCATTTGACTTCAATCAGTTGCGATCTGCAGCTGGACCTAAGACCAGACAACAAGGGTAGCAACCTGGCACTGCTTTGGCATCCTTCTCCTCGAGTCGATCATCATCTTAGCCTCATTGCCAGAACTTATTGATTGCGATTTCCGTTTGCAAGGCGAAACTTCACTTTTCAAGATTGATTGCTTCGTTCCACCACCCAGGCATCATATCTCGTCCTGTTTCAAACTACTTCATAACCCGAGATCTCCCCGATGCTCTTCAAGAGGATTGAATAGTCGGCAAGTAAGACTGAAGCAGATTTCGTTGGTGGTTTCGCTGCAGTAAAATGACTGTTGCGATAATGCTCTATCTAGAGAAGGGAACTGACAGTTGAACCTTCAAGTTACATGTTCAAGAGTGTGTCCAATTCGGCTGCCTCTCATTGTTATCTATGCAGGCCAAAACTGCATACGTCCTGTGTACATCTTAGGTCAACCAGACAGTCTTCGTACCATGACAATATTTTTAGATTTACAATAACGTGATTGACATGATCGAAGACCTTGATGAAAGGACAAGGTGGCATCGGCCGCCAGAGCTGAAGGAGAGTGTTCTGAATATTTTTGACGAAGCTCGATTCGTTCTGACCTCTACGCTGTATAAGTCCAGAGACTGCTGAGATTTTCATTGACTGGCAACACCTATGAATGCAAGCTTCACTCATATTCCTCGTCTGTAATGGTGACGAAACTCCACACCATACTCAATTAGATACTAGCTAAGTCTTCAGATTCTTAAGGGGTTGATTATATTTTGAATGTGAGGCTAATCTAATAGTAGTACTTATATGCGTAGTCTAGCTGCCGGTGCGCTGCCTCTTCCGGTTTAGCCCCCGCCATGGCAGAATAAAGGGATGGACAGAGAAAGCGCAAAGGCTTCATCTAGGACAGTTGCACTAAAATCGTTGATGTGGAGTAGTCCTCGAGCTTCAATACATCGATGCTTGGATGATTAGTTACCCAGCTCAAGGCGGACAATAGAGTGGCCACAGGTCGAGTGGAGTGGATTGGTACCGATACTGGACTGGAGGGCTGTAAAGGCACTTGGAGAACTGAGAACTGAATAATAATGACCAACTCGGGGCGGGGGGGTGGTTGATGCCAAGGAAAAGCTTTCCTGGGGACTTACCCTCTCAATCACTACGGGGATAAGATATGAAAGAGAAAGTTAATATTCAGAATACTAAAAGCTGCAGACATATTCGATAGTTATAAGTCTTAGCAAGAAAATCCGACGTGAATCCAGTCTTCTATTATGTTTTGCTCTGAAACGCTTTGTACACAGTACAGCTATGCCAACGAAAGTTAAATGCAAATATTTGACTGGTGAGATGCATGTACACAGAGTAAGCCCCTTAGTAAGCATGGAGACCCCACTCCTACTGCACAAGCAACACGATCGCCTGATCCCCACCTAGATCCCAACTAAGGCTCACAGCATTTCACAACAATCTATAGTTACCTGCTTCGTTAACAATATTGTGAGAAGTTTGGAAACAGCATATCTGTATCGTTATCTGGCATTGTGAGTTCTACAGAAGATGGCCTCGACTGCGTATGAATATGACCAGGCTGCCGCCAACAACCAATATCACTGATCACCCTTGTAGAACAAGCGACGAACTTGAGGATGCACTGCAACATTTCCAGAAAACCCTGACAGCAGAACAGAAGAATCAGTTGAAGGCGATCAATGCCATACCCGATGCTGATGCTGTCGTTTCCTTTACTACAGAGCTTGATAACAGAAATGCGGAACGCCGAAGCCGCGGTGTCGCAACGCGCTTACATAGGTTTCTCGAATCGATTCAACAATTCTCTACCATTGTAGACACGTTTGTCTCGTCAAAACCCAGTGTGGCAGCTCTTGTGTGGGGAAGTATCAAGTTTGCGCTTCTTGTTCGAATGTGGTATCCGACCTGGTACACGGCCCTGACTCTTTCTAGGCTGCAGCGAACTTCTCTTCATATTTCGACAAAATTTCAGCGCTACTGATGCGTATCGGCAAGCATTGTCCGCGATTTACAGAATATCAGTTGCTCTATGGGACCTCTGTCGGGCTGCGGACAGCGCTTTGCAGCTTCTACGCAACTATCGTCGCTTTCTGTCGACACGCAGTTGTGGTATTCCAAAGATCAGGTAGGTCATCTGGCGGAATAGAATTATCTACGAGCGACTCTGGTGACTCGGGCATGCAGGTTTCTTGCATCTTGCGAAAAGTTTTCTCAACTCATTTGAGGCGGACTTTGGCCCATTTGAAAGCCAGATCGATAGCAAAAGCAAAGACGTCAAGGAAGAGATCCGGCTTGCCTCTATCAAAGCTGCCTATCAAGATCAACAGCTCCAAGTCATTGAGAGAAAAGAGCAATCCATATCTAGAAAGATGCTCAGATTGTTCTCTTCAAAAAGATGGATATTGCTGCTGAAGAAGGCCGGGAGTGGAGACTAGAGAGAGATGAACGGGAGTCAAGTAAGCTATTTGTCAAAATTGTAATAGAGGGGATATGATGATGACTCACCCTTGTGGTATGTAGAAGCTCGAAAGCAGAAGCTTCTAGATACTCTCTCACAGTATAATTACCGTACCGCCTTCTACCATGCTTGCTCAAAGCGTCAGGGGGGAACTTCGGAGTGGTTGGCCACAACGCATGAATTCAGAGACTGGCTGAACAGTGACATATTGTCCTTGTTCTGGTGTTCTGGAAAAGGTAAGGGCCTGCTTGTCTCAATCATCACCGCATGCTAAGTAGAGCATAGTGGGATCTGGTAAAACAATACTTATGTAGGTGATGTCTTCATCTCATGATTCGCTGAGTACCGCTGAGATCTTAGGCTATAGTGCCAACTCTATCGGATATCTATTCCAGTTCTGTAACACTGTCCAGTCTGCCCGCATAAACTACTTCTTCTGCCGGTATGATGATGAAACGTCATTGAGAGCGACTACTATCCTAAGCTCATTGATTCGGCAATGCCTGGACGTGGAGAACTTGCCCACAACAGTCGAGTCTCGTCTTGCTGAGTATCTGAAGGACCCTCCCTTGAATGCACTGCAATTAGAGTCTTTATTGCAGGATGTCATTGCATTGTCAGAAGTTCACTTTGTTGTAATAGATGGCGTTGACGAGTGCAGGGCAAATGAGCGCAAAACGCTCTTTAAGGTGCTTCACCGGCTGCTAGAACGAAGTGGTTCAACACTGAAATTGCTGCTGATAAGTCGGGACAGCATCAGCACTGAAGTGAAGATGCTTCATCGCCATTTCCATCACGTGCAGATGAGCCGTCCAGAGGCTTCCTCAGACATTGAGGCCTTTATTAAGGATGAGATTCAAGAGAGAGTAGCCAGCAAGGAATTGGTTGTGGGTAATTCCAAGCTTTTAAAAGACATTCAAGATGCTCTTGTCCGAGGAGCACAAGGAATGTCAGTAGTTTAGTGAAGACTGATATTAGCGGCACTAACATTCTACAGGTTCCTTTGGGTTGTTTTCATGATTCAAGACCTCTGCTCTCAGAGCTGCGATGAAGACATACGCAGAACAATCGACAACCTTCCTGAAGACTTACCAAAGTTGTACCATTGCATTGTTTCCCGTATCGTTGATTCCAAGCACGAAAAGACTGTGAAGAAGATCTTACGCATGTTGGCCAGTGTGCAACGCCCATTGTCAATAGGGGAACTTCAGGAAGCCTTATCTGTGGAACCTTATTCTTCCTACCTGAAGCCTGGACGACGAACAAACGATATCTGGAGAGATATTTCATGGTGTGAGAATCTGGTTTATGTGGATGAGGGCGATGATACAGTTCACTTCGCTCACTACACCATTAAGATCTTCTTGCTTGATCAGTCTCTAGGCTCACACCATTCTGATTTCCACTTCCACCCAGACAAGGCAAACTATGAACTTGGAGAGATTTGCGTCACATATCTCAACTCCAGTGATTTCAAGAGACAGCTAGACAGAATAACAAAAGCGCAAGCGTCCTTCAGCCCTGAGCTGGCGTTAGAAGCTTCTCTCTCGGCCGAACTAGGCTCTAAACTGGGTGCTCCGCTATCCAAACTAGGGCGATTGCAATGTCTTAGGAAGACTACTAACTTTGATCTGAGGAAGCAGATACCCAAAAGTGCAGAGACGAGCATCGAGCATCCTTTTCTAGATTATGCATCCAAGTACTGGCTTCAGCATTGCACCGACTTTACTACAGAGGATATTCGTGCCTGGAACCTGTGGAAAGCTATATTACTGAATGTGGACAGCCTTGGTCATACCTCATGGACAGGTGTTGAATGGAACCAACGTGCAAAAATAGTCTTGGACTTTATTTTATCCTACGACCATAAGGCACTTCTTACTTGTATTGAGAAAAGCAACGAACCTTTCCACAAACAAACAACACTGGAGCTGTTCATATCTGCAGCTGGCAGAGGTAAGGTGAAAGTGTTAGAATACCTGCTTGAAACAGACCCAAAAGTGGCAGTAGAATCACTTCGTGGTCGAACTGCACTCCATGCAGCAGCGGAAGGAGGCCATATTGAGATAGTGGAGAGATTGCTTGCTACAGAGGCTGATATCAATAAAGGACATGGTCAAAATGCACTCGAAGCAGCAGCAGGCGGAGGCCATATTGAGGTGGTGGAGAGATTGCTTGCTGCAGAGGCTGATGTTGACGTACTATCTGGTCGAACTGCGCTTCAAGCAGCAGCACACGGAGGCCATATTAAAGTGGTAGAGAGGTTGCTTACTGCAAAGGCTGACGTGAATGCACCAGCAGCAGCAGCTGATGATCGAACTGCACTCCAATCAGCAGCACACGGAGGCCATATTAAGGTAGTGAAGAGATTGCTTGCTGCAGAGGCCGATGTGAATGCAGCAGCAGCATCTGTTGATGGTCGCACTGCACTCCAAGCAGCGGCTGAGGGCGGCCACAGTCAAGTGAAAAAATTATTGAAAGATCATAGAAGGGTTATATAAGAATGGGTATGTCTGCAAGTATTCCATCGCGGCTTTGAGTGTTGCATGATGACGATCCGCAGGGTTAGAAAGCTTGCTTAGCAACTGCTCTCAAAACGTGCATGGTAAGAGGTATCTTGGAAGCGGCTTGACGAAGGTGCGGTCGTAGATCCACAAAAGGTCTAGACCAAAATCCTTGGTGACAACGCTCTCCTGTCCCGTCACCCTTGCTGATGTACTGGGTTGAGGTTTGCACTACACTCAGTCGGGATGACCAAAAACGCAGCGTCATCACTTCGAGATCATACGCACAGAACTCCTTGATGAGGGACTGCGCCAAACGGACGAAGTCGTTGAGCTGAATATGTAGCAACGTCCAAGCTCGCTCAACGGCTAGTAATCTGATGAAAATGATTATAGGAGCTAGTGGCGTGATTTTTGAAATGCATAACTCCATCAGGAACTTTGTCACAGAGTGGAGATTTAACACATTCTTTAGTGCCCAGCGATTGAAGGTGCTGCTTTTCAACGTGCTCTCGAGCTTCTCGCGGACGACAGAAGTAAAAACAATGGAGAAGCGAGTGAGAGCTGCAGGTTTCAAGATAGAAGATACACTGGGAATTCAAACAGCTCGCTGGTAGTGGCTGGGGTGGCGTCACATGACCCGTGGTGCAACAGAGGCCGAAAGCAGCGTTAAAGACCGCCTAAACAAGCGTCATATGTCCCGGAATCTAGAGTTGAGAGGTAGTAATATTCTGCCGCACCCCATGTAGTCTGGCTTGGCATCAATTGCGCCTCTGTTCAAACGAGACTCTTACATCAAGCTAGGTTTCTACGTCTAACTCGCAGTGCCTGCTATTACTACGAGACTGCTAATCTAGATACTCTGACATCGTGAGCGGACACTTCCAATGTGACGTCGACTCTCGGGAACCCAAGCCAGTGTAACCTTGCAAGAGCTCACGAGACACAGAGAAGCCGTGGAGAGACGCCAGCAAAGGCCAGCAGCCATAGAATTTGGACGAGGACACGGTTCATAAATTGCAGATTGTTGCTGTTCGATGCGTCGATCTCTCCTGCAGTCTCGGTGTTCTGCTTACAATGCAACATGCTGGACAAACGCCCATGGTGGACCACCAGCACGAATCTATCCATAATACGGTCGCCGGGGATGGCAAGCAAAAGAACAATGGCACGGGCACAGGGAACGGGAACCGAAAGTATAACAGCGCACGTGGCAGCCCAAACCAACGCAAAAATATCACCTCTCGGTTTGACTACGAGAATGGTGCGCCACCCAAGCCAGGAATGTCACCGCCAGGAATAGTGACTCTGGACCCTAGCAATGCCTCGCCCATCAGTCCACATGTACGAGCGGTATCTGATGGGCACGATCCGGTGGCTAGTAGTATGCTTGAAATACAAGGGGCGGGAAGACGAAGTGTGCAGTTCACCAGAGACACAATAGATAATGAGCAAGAAGGTGGGGACACTGAGAATTCGGATGGTCGTGGTTCTGCGCAACCTGGTAATACCTTGTATTCGAGGTTGAAGTCGTTTGCTACCTCACCGAGCTTCATTTATCCAAGGACGCCGAATGGTGGTTCAAATGCTGGAGACGGCAAAGCTATCGCCAACAACCTGTCTTCCCCCAGAGCTGACCGCAACGAAGCGTACTTTCCGATGACTCTGGAAGAGGATGCCAGTGAAGCAGATGCTGATGCTGAAGAAAGCGGAGCTGAGCGGCAACCTGATAGCCCGTCAGTCCGTAAAAGACGAAGGAAGAAACCCGTGCTCCATGAAGGTGGCATCAAAACTGCTCCAGCCACGCCAGGAACCCCAACAGGTCCTGCGCTAATTAGCTCCCACTCGTTGGCCTCTACAGATGAACGAAGACCTGTACCACCACAACGGCGAGCAACGACAAACGACATTGGGGAAGGTTACCATGCAATGTCTGAAGACGAAGGCCGGAATCGACTCAGCACCAACAGTCCATCAAGAATGAGAAATGCACTGCGTGGCCTTAGCCACGGTCAAGGACAGCGCAAGAATCACGGCACTCCTGAAGCAAAAAGGCCAACAGCTATGAAGCGTCTTACAGGTCTGGTAGGTTACGCAGAAGCAGCTGACAGCCCGTCACGGCGACATCGCATGAAAGGGGAACGAGGCACTAGTCTTAGTGCACAAAAATGGCGTCAAATTAAACAACAGCTTAAGCTTCTTGGCCCAAGGAAGGGCAGAGATCGGACAATTGACCATGAGAAGTCCGCCGAACTGCTCGCCGAACTAATCGCTGGTAGCCCTGCTGCACTTATGGTCGCCAGCATGTTCCAGCGAGATGAACATGGGAGCAAACGCGTGCCAGTACTCCTTGAACAGTTGAAGGTCAAAATTGTGGATAGTGAGTATGACTCAAAACCCAGAGAAACTGATGGTCTTGTCCAGGGCGATCGTCACATGGTATTTCGGATAGAGCTTGAATATGGGAGTGGCCTAAACCGCATGAAGTGGACAATAAGGAGATCATTGCGTGACTTCGCAAATCTCCACCTGAAATACAAACTTCATTTCAGCACTCAGAAATATGTCCGTCTCAAGGCACCAGATGACAAGGGCATGCCACGTTTTCCGAAAAGCGCATTTCCATATCTCAAGCAGGTTCGAGGTTTAGAGGATGAAATCGAGGATGAGGACGAGGAGGGAGGCGCAGAAACAGATGGAGGTGCGACTGGCGCAGAGAGACCGGCTCCGAAGCATCAAAGACGTTCGTCGTTTGCTCTGTCGCGACGAAGATCTAGCGCGAACAGACAACAGGAGGACCAGAGCCTCAGTGGAGCCTTAGGATCTGCTGGCGGCCTAGCAAGTGTTGTTAATCACATCACTGGCAGGCGAGAGACGTTTCACGAGAGACAACGTAAGAAATTGGAGGTCTATCTTCAGAAGATGATCAAATTTATGCTTTTCCGTGCTGACAGCAATCGCCTCTGCAAATTTCTGGAGGTCTCTGCATTGGGCCTGCGGCTCGCTGCTGAGGGCAGTTTTCATGGAAAAGAGGGGTTTCTCGTCATTCGATCTGGCAAAGGTCTCGACTTTCGGAAGGCTTTGACCCCAGCCAACCTCAGAGGCAGACACACTCCGAAGTGGTTCTTAGTACGCCATAGCTATGTTGTCTGTGTCGATTCGCCGGAGGAGATGCATATTTACGACGTCTTCTTATTTGACGAAGACTTTAAGATACATCCTAAAACGTCTCTCCTTCGGGATCAAAAGGCAAAGGCCAAGCCCAAGCAGATCGCACAAGCAGCCAAAGAATCAGCTTCGATCCCTCAACATCACAGACTCAAGCTATACAACTCAGAGAGAAAAATGAAGCTTCTCGCTAGGAATGAACGTCAGTTACAGCAGTTTGAGGACTCTATTCAGATGATGGTCGAAGCTTCGCCCTGGACGAAACCCAACCGGTTTGGGAGCTTCGCGCCTGTCCGGCCCAAGTGCTTTGCCCAGTGGCTGGTTGATGGCCGAGACCACATGTGGGTCGTGTCCAGAGCAATCAATCAAGCCAAAGATGTCATATATATACATGATTGGTGGTTGAGCCCTGAACTATACATGCGCAGGCCTCCAGCCATCAGCCAGAAGTGGAGGCTAGATAGGTTGTTGAAGCGCAAAGCTGAGCAAGGAGTCAAGATCTTTGTCATTATTTACCGGAATGTCGAATCCGCAATCCCAATTGACTCTCAGTATACAAAATTCTCTTTGCTGGACTTACACCCAAACGTCTTTGTACAGCGTTCCCCAAACCAGTTCCGTCAGAACACGTTCTTCTGGGCACATCACGAAAAGTTGTGCATCGTAGATCACACTCTGGCTTTCATCGGAGGCATTGACCTTTGTTTCGGTAGATGGGATACGCCACAGCACACCGTCACCGACGACAAATCCACCGGTTTTGAGGCATCGGAACTGCCTAAAGACGCAGACCATTGCCAGCTGTGGCCTGGAAAGGACTACTCTAACCCACGAGTCCAAGACTTCTTCGCTCTCAGTAAACCATATGAGGAAATGTATGATCGATCGGTGATCCCTCGGATGCCGTGGCACGACATTTCGATGCAGGTTGTTGGCCAGCCTGCAAGAGATCTTACACGACATTTCGTGCAAAGGTGGAATTATGTCCTTCGACAACGTAAGCCGACTCGCCCCACTCCGTTTCTGTTGCCGCCTCCCGACTTCAATCCTGCCGACTTGGAAGCATTGGGGTTGGACGGAACTTGTGAGGTGCAGATTCTTCGGTCTTGCGGCCCTTGGTCCATCGGGACACCTGACAAGACGGAGCATAGTATCATGACAGCATATGCGAAGATGATCGAGGAGTCTGAACACTTTGTGTATATCGAGAACCAGTTTTTCATCTCCAGCTGTGTCACTGATGTCACCACTATCAAAAATACGATTGGGGACGCCCTGGTCGAACGTGTGGTTCGTGCTGCCAAAAACGAAGAGGCATGGCGAGCGATGATTGTTATTCCCCTGATGCCTGGATTCCAGAACACGGTTGACAGCGAAGGCGGCACCAGCATCCGACTTATTATGCAGTACCAATTCAGAAGCATTTGCCGTGGCGAGTCCTCAATTTTTGGGCGTCTGCGAGCTCAGGGTATCGAGCCAGAGGACTATATTCAGTTTTATGGCCTTCGGGCATGGGGCAAGATAGGGCCTCGGCAGCGGCTCGTAACCGAGCAACTCTACATCCATGCGAAGTGTATGATAGTTGATGACCGGGTCGCTATCATAGGATCCGCCAATATCAATGAACGATCGATGCTTGGCAACAGAGATTCAGAATGTGCCTCTATCGTGCGAGATACAGACATGCTTTGGTCGAAAATGAACGGCCAGCCCTATATGGTAGGCAGATTTCCGCACACGCTCCGAGTGCGTCTGATGCGTGAACATCTTGGCCTTGATGTTGACAAAATCATGGAAGACGCGCAAATCGTAGAAGAGGAGTTTGGAAATCCCGAAGACGAGAAGCCACCCATGTCTGCTCACTCCAACAATTCAGACCAGAATCTACCGATGTTGCCCTCATCGACAAATCTGGCAGTCCAAAGCCAAACTGTCCCCAGGGACACCGCGCCTGAAGAAACATTGGCTCGTGCTGAAGGCCTGGCGAGCTTCAATCACGATATTGATTGGGAACAGGCAGATAACCCCAATCTGAAGTCAAATCGCAAATTGACTGAGGATTCTAGAGTGACAGGAAATGCTGAGCATCGCAAGGATGTGGAGGGCAAAGGTCCTGATAACATGGAGATAATAGAGCATCTAGGCTACGGTGTTGGCAGGGACACTGCAGTCATCAAAGAAAGCAAAGAAGTTCTGGTTGCTGAGGTAGCTACGGAGGGTAAAAATCCTTTACAAAGGCCACTGAAGCCGGGGGAGATGCCGCGACGTCCTTCAATCTTAGAGGCGTACGAGCTGGGCAACCCTCCATTGCCACCGAGACCAGGAAACATTCGTTCCTCAACCACTCAACTTGGTCTTCCTCTGCTTTCACAATTACCGCCCTTGCCGGACACGGACGATACAGATATTGGTGGTCCGGCTATGCACAGATCATTCTCTAAGGGCTCTAGAGAGCGTCGGCACCCACTTGTGAACGAATTAAAGCTTCCTATGGTTGACAAGGACTGCATGGAGGATCCAGTCCTTGATGCATTTTCGCTCGATACATGGCACGCCATTGCGGAAAACAACGCCAAAATATTTCGTTCAATCTTCCGCTGTATGCCGGACAACGAGGTCAGAGGCTGGAAAGAGTATAAGGAATACGTAGCTTATGGCGAGCGCTTCGAGGAGATGCAAGGCGAGACCGGTAGCAAGTCGAGTATTCGATCCCAGCCATACTCTAGCCACAAGAGCGGGCCACCTGGCGCAGGTTTGTCCGAGAAAAAGGCACTTCTGACTCAAGGCACCAAGCATTTGCATTCAAGCGAGGGTCAGAAGGCAGCAAGCGTACTAAAGGGGAAATCGAAGAATGCTGCACATGATGAGAAGGGAGATGTTGTACAAAGAGATCACGAGCAATTGCGGGCCTGGGCAGTAGAGGCGAACAAGGCACAAGCAGAAAGACAGCACCGAAACTTATCCAAGGAGGAGACTTCATCCACTCAAGATTCTGCTCCAACTACCGTGCCCGAGTCGCAGCCGTCGTCTCCAACCCTAGGGGACGAGCGGGAACCTCTTCCGGATCTGACGATATCGCCACAAAGCAACGAGAAACCAGCATTGCAATTCGTTGGTTATTCCGAAGCCATCAACATGAACATGAATACGCAGACGACACCGCGACGACGACGCCGTACCACTACTAGAAGCGGGCGAAGAGAATTCGCGGCAACAGATGACATTCCCAGTAAAGCTGAGGCGGAAGAGCTCCTAAATCTCGTACAAGGTCATTTGGTGGTCTGGCCTTATGATTGGTAAGGGTGGAGAAATGAAACAAGCCGCTGGGCCGTGCTGACACTTTGTATTAGGTTGGCTGAAGTCGAAAAGGGTGGCAATTGGCTCTATCCTTTTGACCAGATATCGCCTCTCGAGATTTAGTAAGTACCTGCACATATCGTGGCCTTGCCCTGATCTGTCGCTGTGCTGACTTCCCATCCAGCGTTTGATGCATCATTTTTAGAGCGATTAGCGACATGTCGACCCTGTTTTTCCGGCCCTTGTCGGGCACCCACTTTGATATACGGTACACTGTTGTGGTATCTTAGTCAATGGAGGTGACCTGTTATTCGGTCGAATGCTTGGACTGGGCTTGCACACGAAGATCGTGCTCACTTCCGTTGATCGTTTGACACCTTGACGTTCTGCTTTCTCTCCGACATCTACTGTTGTTTGCATGTTTACAAGCGCGGAGTTGGCACATTACCTGAATCTAGATTTATAGCATTATAATTGAGCATCAGAGCATGAAGGTACTGCTGGAAAACTACCCTTTCCCATCGAAAACCCTGTTGTGATTAGCCTTTCATTGGATGCTGCAACGCGGGATAAGAGGCCCGAAGATCTGCAAATATCTTGGGAAAGGCTATAGCCGAAAATTGAATGGCGTTGTGTTGAACGTTGCTGACTAATCGACGGATCAGTGTTGAAATAGCAAGTTGTTCTATCTAATTCAGTGCGCAGAGCGAGCATTTATACGTACAGAGTTGCTATATCAAGAGAAATAGCGCGAAATGCAGATACCAAAAATACATGCGAAACGCGTAACAGGTCTGTAACAAAACGCATATGAAACGCGTAGCAGGATAGCACAAACCGTATTTTTGAGTTCAACACGTTGGAACAGGTACGGAGTACTGCGTAAGGATTATGGGGAGGCAATCGGTTAAACTCGGTTAAATCTCGGGCGGCTGATGTATTGTACCGAGTCCTCCAGTCACAAACTGCTGCATGAAACACCACGAAATGCTAACCACCATTCCTTCTCTGTGCTTCCGCTAAACCTACACTTTCTTATTGCAGTCCTTCTTCTGATTCGCCAGCGCTCAGAAAAGCTCAAAGCTTATCCTTGAGTTTTGCGGTCATGCACTGATTTTACGGTTTGCTTAGATGAGCCAGACTATGTCCATGCATAACCTCCCTGTTCCCACTTCATATAGAAATACTTATACTCGCTTACCCTGAGGGCATAATGCAGAGCCCTTCACATGTTCCCGCTCCTGTTTGACAACTCAACGAAGTAAGTTTTTACTGAAGAGCTGCTATGATGCCGCCAGCTGTTTAAGGCCGCTGGGAGGCTTATTCTAAACCAACCGAATTGAGTTATCCATGACCAGACATGTCCTCCACTCACCTCAACGAACCCGGTGGCGGCTTGAGAGATGTGGCCAAGTCCTCAGTATCACCGTCTGAAGGCGCCGTCTCCGGCCGCAACACTGTGCTCTCAAACAAGCTTACAGGTGTCTTATCGCAATCTTACGCCGACCCTGAGATCAGAGAAAGCCTTTCAATCTTGGATGCTCGAGGCGTGGTAAACGATGCTAGTGCTAGGCGAAGGCTAAGACTCGATGCACAGAAGGAAGTCATTGAATGCAATGGTGCCATAGTACAGGACTTTGGAGTTGTTGTAGAGGTAACGTTCCCAGCGGCCGGGACATTAAAGGAGTGCTAATAACTTTGCAGCAATTAGAGCGTGTTGGCACAATGATTGCAGATTTGAATAAGACATGTGAAGAGATGCGAACCCAGATCCATAAAGCTCAGCAGGAGTCTGGCTCTATGCTAGAAGAAGCATCAACCTTGACAGCACAGAAACAGGCAGTGGAGACAAAGCAGCAGTCCCTCAACGCTTTCAACAACCATTTCATTGTTTCAGAAGACGATCTGACAACGCTGACCAACTCGACCAAACCTGTTGATGATAGATTCTTCCAAATCATGAATCGCGTCAAACAAGTCCGTAAAGATTGCGAAGTTCTGCTTGGCAACGAGAACCAAACCCTTGGGTTGGAGCTTATGGAGCAGACGTCTCGAAATCTGAACGCTGCATTCAAAAAGCTTAACACCTGGATCCAACGAGAGTTTCAGATGCTGGATCTTGAAGATCCACATATCAGCGCCACAATCAGACGAGCTCTTAGAGTCCTGGCAGAGAGGCCGACACTGTTCCAAAATTGCTTGGATTCCTTCGCCGAGGCTCGAGAGCACGCGCTGTCCGACGCTTTCCATATCGCTCTCACCCAGTCCGCTACCACGGTGGTGACTGCAGCTAGACCTGCCAACCCCATAGAAATGCAAACCCACGATCTCCTCCGATATGTAGGAGACATGCTTGCATGGGTTCATTCCACAACGGTATCGGAACGAGAAGCACTGGAAGGTCTCTTCATTTCAGATGGAGACGAGATCGCGAAAGAGATTCAAGCTGGAAGAGACAATGAGCCGTGGTCTCGAAACAACATCGGAGAAGACGAGACAGGAGACAGCGCATCAGTATTTGACGGTCGCAAGGCACTGAACGAACTAGTCAACCGTGATCTTGAGGGTGTGAGTCGCGTCCTTAAACAGCGAATTGAAATTGCTGTACGCAGCAATGATGACCCACTGCTCGTGTACAAGGCATTGAACTTGTTCAGGTTCTACCAAGACATCTTCATCAAACTTGTTGGTGCTCCGTCGATCCTTGGAAACACCATTGCAGAGCTCCAGACCTCAACCTTTTCCCATTTCGAGCGGTTACTTCAAGATGAGACCTCTACCCTTGCAAACGAGACTATACCAGAAGATCTGAGCTCACCACCGTTTTTGCTTCGGGAGTTGGACCAGCTCAACTCTTTCCTAAAAGCTAATCCGGACATATCTGGGCCGGAGATATCCCAGCTACTCTCAGCCGCACTTGTTCCATTCCTAAACCAATGCTCAGAAATGGCTACCGTTGTTACAGACCCTACAGCGCAAAATGTCTTCCAGCTCAACTACCTATCCGCCGTCAATACTGCGTTACAACCAAGTCTTCCACCCAACCATAGCTTCCTCGAAGCTGCTCGCAGGAAGGTAGGAGATCTACGAGAAGAGTTGATCGAAATGCAGCACTCATTCCTCCTACGTAAGTCCGGCGTAGAGCCACTTCTCGCCGCCATTCGTGAAACTAAAGCAGGAGCCCCGACCCGGATCGATCTGGCCTCATTGCCGGTCTTCAACGCAGAAGCTCTCTCTAGTCGTGCGGCACAGCTAGACGACTTCCTTCCCTCGGCCTGGATGGATCTGTTGGAGAACATGAAACGACTGACAGATAAGAGTCTGGCGAAGGATGTCGCGCATGAGGCGGCAGAGAGGTTCTGCGCTGATTTTGGGGCTGTGGAGGAGGCGGTGTTGAGGGTCGATGAGCTGATGCTGGATGGCAAGCGGGGAGGGGAGGGCAAAACCGGGGGTGAGTGGGATGGTGAGCAGGAAGAGGAGACATTGCTGAGAGAGGTGTATCCGAGGACTACAGCAGAGATCAGAGTGCTGTTGAGCTGACGAGGCTGATGTGTGGCATGAAAACGACTGGCCTTTCATCCTCTGAGAAACAGGGCAAATTCTTTTTCTGCATGATTCTGAGGCCGTCGAGCCTTCGAGCGGTAGGCTTCTTGATTAATGTAGATATGTTCTGCGATCTGAACAGGCTTGCTATTAGGCCTGAGGTTACAGTCCAAACAGCCTGCCATGACTCATACTCACTTCGTTGGTCAGTACGCTTGAACCATGTATACTCCCAGACACACAAACTTCGGCGGAGCCTAGGCGTCCTGGCATCTCCAGTAGGGTGCCACCACCATCTTCATCTGTATCTGTAGAAGAGTCACGACGTTGACCCCGCAGGTCGACCCAACTGACCTTCTACTCCGCACGATGTCTCGCGATCGATCGTGTCTGTCCCCAGCCCTCTCCAACAGGGACCCATATCCATCGCGAATCACCCTTCTACCAAGCCGTGTTCGCACCCTTCTAAGCTCCCCCGCTCAACCGTTCCCCAACCCGCTCTCCGTCTGCGCCTCCCCGCCCTCCACTGCTCCGGCGTAAAACACCTGGGCGTCCACGCATGGATCGCCTTGATCTCCTCCCTCAACGCCGCATTCACCAATCTGTGTCGCGCCAACGCCGTCTTCTTCTCGAACTGCGGGGACACGATCGTCGCGGCGTAGGCTTGGCCGCATCCGCCTGGGAACCCATATCAGCGAGTAATAATAGCAGGGGTATGTAGAGTGAGAGAGAGAGAGAGAAAGGGAGTTAGGGTTTGACGCACCACTCATGTCCACAATCTCGACGTGTTCGGCACTGAGTTTGGATTGCAGGGTGGATTTCAGCGAGGACAC